CTGGCCCAAATACTGCACTTGGAAATCAAAACAGTCTCTCAGACCACAGTACAATCAAATTAGAACTCAGGATTAAGAAACTCACTCAAAACCACACAACTCCATGGAAACTTAGCAACCTACTCCTGAATGACTACTGGGGAAATAATGAAATGAAGGCAGAAATAAAGATGTTCTTTGAAACCAATGAGAACAAAGACACAATGTACCAGAATCTCTGGGACACATTTAAAGCAGTGTGTAGAGGGAAATTTATAGCACTAAATGCCCACAGAAGCAAGCAGGAGAGATCTAAAATTGACACCCTAATAACACAATTAAAAGAACTAGAGACACAAGAGCAAACAAATTCAAAAGCTAGCAGAAGGCAAGAAATAACTAAGATCAGAGCAGAACTGAAGGAGAGAGAAACATAAAAATTCCTTCAAAAAAAAAAAATCAATGAATCCAGGAGTTGGTGTTTTAAAAAGATTAGCAAATTAGATAGACCACTAGCCAGACTAATAAAGAAGAGAGAATAATCAAATAGATGCAATAAAAAATGATAAAGGGGATATCACCAATGATTCCCACAGAAATACAAACTATCATCAGAGAATACTAGAAATACCTCTATGCAAATAAACCAGAAAATATAGAAGAAATGGATAAATTCCTGAACATTTACACCCTCCCAAGACTAAACCAGGAACAAGTTGAATTTGTGAATAGACAAATAACAAGGTCTGAAATTGAGGCAGCCATTAATAGCCTAACAACTAAAAAAAGTCCAGGATCAGACAGTTTCAAAGCTGAATTCTACCAGACGTACAAAGAGGAGCTGGTACCACTTCTTCTGAAACTATTGCAAAGAATAGAAAAAGAAGGAATCCTCCCTAACTCATTATATGAGACCAACATCATCCTGATACCAAAACATGGTAGAGACACAACAAAAAAAGAAAATTTTAAGGCAATATCCATGATGAACATAGATGCCAAAATCCTCAATAAACGACTGGCAAACTGAATCCACCAGCTCATCAAAAAGCTTTTTCACCATGATCAAGTTGGCTTCACCCCTGGGATGCAAGGCTGGTTCAACATACGCAAATCTATAAACATAATCCATTACATAACCAGAGGCAAAAATCACATGATTATCTCAATAGATGCAGAAAAGGCCTTCAACAAAATTCAACAGCCTTTCATGCTACAAATTCTCAATAAACTGAGTATTGATGGAACATATCTCAAAATAATAAAGCTGTTTATGACAAACCTATAGCCAATATTATACTAAATGGGCCAAAATTAGAAGCATTCCCTCTGAAAATCAGCACAAGACAAGGATGCCCTCTCTCACCACTCCTAGTCAACATAATATTGGAAGCTCTGGCCAGAGCAATCAGGCAAGAAAACGAAATAAAAGGTATTCAATTAGGAAAAGAAGTCAAATTGTCTCTATTTGAAGATGACATAATTGTATATTTAGGAGACCCCATCATCTCAGCCCAAAATATCCTTAAGCTGGTAAGCAACTTCAGCAAAGTCTCAGGATACAAAAATCAATGTGCAAAAATCACGAACATTCCTATACACCAATAACCGACAGAGACCCAAATCGTGAGTGAACTCCTATTCACAATTGCTACAAAGAGAATTAAATTAAATCCCTTAGAATACAACTTATAAGGGATATGAAGAACCTCTTCAAGGAGAACTACAAACCACTGCTCAAGGAAATAAGAGAAGACACAAATGGAAAAACATTCCATGCTCATGGATAGGAAGAATCAGTATCATGAAAATGTCCAAAGTAATCTATAGATTCAATGCTATCACCATCAAGCTACCATTGACTTTCTTCACAGAATTGAAAAAAAAAAAATAAGTATCAGATGGAACCAAAAAAGAGCCAACATAGCCAAGACAATCCTAAGCAAAAAGAACAAACCTGGAGGCATCACACTACCTGACTTAAAACTATACTACAAGGCTACAGTAATCAAGAGCATGGTACAAAACAGATATACAGACCAATGGAACAGAACAGAAGCCTCAGAAATAATGTCACACCTACGATCATCTGATCTTTGACAAACTTGACAAAACAAGCAATGGGGAAAGGATTCCCTGTCTAATAAATGGTGTTGGGAAAATTGGCTTGCCATATGCAGAAAGCTGAAACTGATCCCTTCCTTACACCTTATGCAAAAATTAACTCAAGATGGATTAAAGATTTAAACATAAGACCTAACGCTATAAAAACCCTAGAAGAAAACAAAGGCAATAGCATTCAGAACACAAATATGGGCAAAGTCTTCATGACTAAAACACCAAAAGCAATAACAAAAAACAGCCAAAATAGACAAGTGGAATCTAATTAAACTAAAGAGCTTATGCACAGCAAAAGAAACTTTCATCGGAGTTAACAGGCAACCTACAGAATGGGAGAAAATTTTTGCAATCTACCCATCTGACAAAGGGCTAATATCCAGAATCAACAAAGAACTTAAATTTACAAGAAAAAAAAACCCTTCAAAAAGCTGGCAAAGGATAGAACAGACACTTCTCAAAAGGAGACATTTATGCAGTCAAACATGAAAAAAAGCTCATTCCCACTGGTCATTGGAGAAATGCAAATCAAAACCACAATGAGATCCCATCTTACACAAGTTAGAATGGCGATCATTAAAAAGTCTGGAGACAACAGACACTGGAGTGGATGTGGAGAAATAGGAACACTTTTACACTGTTGGTGGGAGTGTAACTTAGTTCAACCATTGTGGAAAACAGTGTGACTATTCCTCAAGTATCTAGAACTAAAGATACCAATTGACCCAGCAATCCCATTACTGAATATGTACCCTAAGGAGTATAAATCATTCCATTATAAAGACACATGTACACATATGTTTATTGTGGCACTGTTCACAATAGCAAAGTCTTGAAACCAACCCAAATGCCCATTGATGATAGACTGGATAAAGAAAATGTGGCACATATACACCATGGAATACCATGCAGCCATAAAAAAGGATGAGTTCATGTCCTTTGCAGAGACATGGATGAAGCTGGAAACAATCATTCTCAGCAAACTAACACAAGAACAGAAAATCAAACACAGCATGTTCTCACTCACAAGTGGGAGCTGAACAATGAGAACATGGACACAGGGAGGGGAGCATCACACAGCCGGGCCTGTGGAAGAGTGGGAGGCTATGGAAGGGATAGCATTAAGAGAAATACCTAATGTAGATGGGTTGATGGGTATAGCAAACCATCACGGCACATGTATACCTGTGTAACAAACCTGCACGTTCTGCACATAAATTCTTTTTAATTATGCTTAGTGAAATAAGCCAGACACCAAAGAACAAATATCTTATTATTCCATTTCTACAAGCTACCAGAAAGAGGCAACTTTAGAAAGAGAAAATAAACTAGAGGTCACCAGGGGCTGGAGAATAGGGAGAAGGAAAAGCTGTTTAACTTCATGTAGGTTTGGTTGGGAATATTGAAAAGTTTTGGGTATTGACAGTGGTCATGGTTATGTAACATTGTAAATGCACTTGGTGCCACTGAAAGTATATTTACAAATGACTAAAATCATATATATATGTATATATACATAATATACATATACACACATGTACCCAAAAGTAAAATAAGCAAATGAATGAATGAATGTCAGCCAGGCCCTGTGATGAGCAGACTGTGGAGAAGGCACGAAGCCCTGTTTGCCTGGCAATCCGCCTCACATCCTCACCTAAGGACTGCAACACTCACAGATGACCCAAAGCAGCCGAGAAGCAGAAGGTCTCACATTATTTCTCAGTGTGTCAGCACTTTGTTTGGAATACCCATCAGTAGGCAATTCCTCCAGAAAACAAAATGCACCAGACCCTCAAGATACACTCCTCGTCAACTTAGTATTGGAAGTTGGAGCATCACAGAAAGCCCTTCTGCAGAGAAAAGAGAATGCATCACAAGGAAGCTTTCCTCTCTTTCGTACTATGCAATCTTAAGCAAGAACGTTCTTTTCTCTGAGCTTAGCTTACCTGTGGTAAAGTGGAAGTACTCACATTCCAGAACTACTGTGTTCTTGTGTAGCTAAAAAAAAAAAAAAAAATGTATGTACGATACATTCAACACTTGTAATGGTGTCCAGTGCAGAGCAGCCCCTCAACAATGGTAGCTGTCATTATTTTCACATCACCTTTATTTCACAGCATTATACTTTCTAGAAACGGAGTTCAAAGTTACCCTTTCAAACCTCTTCAAGAAAATGGAAATATCTTCTCATTGCTGAAACTCCAAGAAGAGGAAATTATAAATTTATCAGACATTTGATAATAGTAAATGAAAAACATATAACCAACCACCAGCTGACTCTGGCAGTCACAGAGAATGATAAAGGAATGCACCTAGAGGGAAAAGTTTCTGTATTATTGGACCTTTAGACTCACTGAGCAATGGCCTTTCCTAGCACCTCCAGGCTGTGCCTATTTAAGCATTTCTGAAGAGCAGAACGGCACTGCTACAGTTGGTGATACCATAACTAAATCTTACAGACATGCCAGAAAATGCCACTGAACAGGAGGAAATAACATTGATGATGCCCTTGAGACTTGGCTCTCAAACGATATGAGTCATTTCTTCCTGCAGGGGGAATTGTCTCTGTCCTTCTCACACATTTAGGTGTGTGTATGTGTGATGCAACTTCAAGTCAAGATAATGATGGAAATTAGAGATGAGATAATTATTAGGTCAGCAGGCCCACTGCAGTATTCAAGAAAATGACTTGAGGCAATTGGATCTTCAAAATGAAAAATGTAAAACAGGAAAAGTAGATACTGCTCTGTGCTGAGCACTCACAGAGGAAAGTAACACACAACGCACATCCTCAAACAAGAGTCCATTTTAAGATTTGCAGGGGTTGGGGGGACGTCTAGATTTTTCATCTTCAGAAGGAAAGGGCTCCAGACTTTCCTGTACCAATCTTCACTGTGCACTTCACCCATACCATGTCTGTACTGAGCTTCAAGACAAGTGCTGACTGACGAGAACCTCAGGGAAATGGGAGTAAAACACTTGGCATGTGATGGAATGCTGGAAAATAATCATTTATTGATGTCTCCGAGAAACACTGAAGAGGCCTGTTACCAAGTAGAACAAAAACACTTTCTCCATATGGAGAAGAACAAAGCTGTTGCCTTACGTCCTTTTTGTGTTTTATGATCACACCGATATCCACATACCATCAATTCTGTAATCATATCTGCAAGACTGGGTGGATTATTCCAGCAACTTAAATCCTCTCTAGACCTTGAAAATATTTGAAGATCAAATGAGAAAAATTAGGATGATTTTTTTCAGAACAGCTACATATATTTTCTTTATATCTTGGATAGTGTCTAGTTCAGTATTTCATAAGCTACTCAACACATGTTTGGTAGTACAACTTTCATATAATCAATGATGAAAAGAGGAATAAGGTAAGAAAGAATATTATCAGTTACTGTTTGTACTACATACTGTTTGTATAATACATATAGGTATATAAATACATATATATGTACATATATAATTGCAGATCTTCTATAAGCCAAGCATTTCTAAATTCTTTGTGTATTAACTTGCTTAATCATCATAGCTCACCATGAGGTAGGTACTAATCATGTCCAAATTGTACAGATGAGGCAACTGAAACAAGAAAAGTTTGGAAACGTATGTAACATTCCCTGCAGAACCCATTTGGAAGACAAGTAGTCAGGCTTCAGAAGCTTTTTTTTTTTTTTTTACCAACAGGAAAAACCAATACATACAAAGCATACTTATCCACAGATACAGCATTTTGATCTGGGTGATTTTTTTTTTTTTTTTTGAGACAGTCTTGCTCAATCACTCAGGCTGGAGTGCAATGGTACAACCACAGCTCACTACAGCCTCGACCTTCCTGGCTCAAACAATCCTCCCAACTCAGCCTCCCAAGTAGCTGAGATTACAGGCATGTCACCCATGCCTGGCTTATTACTATTTTAGAGACAGAGTTTTCCTATGTTGCCCAGGTTGGTCTCAAACCCCTGGGTTCAAGGGGTCCTCCCACTTTGGCCTCCCAAAGTGTTAAGGTTACAGGCATGAGCCACTACACCTGGCCCATTTTCTTGTCTAAATTAACACTGAGCAAGCTTTTCATTATTCACTGAATATATTTGGCCAACTGTAATAATTGTTCAAACAAAGAATTGAAGGAAATGGTTCCAAACTGAAGCTAGGCTAGAAAATCTGGCGCAAGATAATCCACTGAGGTTTGAACATACCATATTAAGATTTCTTTTTTTTTTTTTTTTTTTGTGCCTTTAATGCTGTTTGGAGTTTTCATGAGCTGTGAAGACTCAAGGGAACAAGCCAAAGTATCCTTGCAGAAATTCTGAATACCACTAAAACGAGCTGTCAAACATAAATCAGTATCTAGCTATTTTTTGACCTATTTATAAAAGTGCAGCTGTGAAATACATCTAAAACACAAATCTAAGTACATTTATTTGAAGATGGTACTTTTAGCAATAACCTTTTCAAACAAACAAACGCCGTCTGCCAAAAACAAAATAATTGCATTGTGTCAAAATGTTGGGGGTGAAGTATTTAAGCTCCCTGTGTAGCTGGTATGAGAACGTGGAATTTCACTTGGTGTCAGCTTCATTCCAGCTGCCCCCAGGCTTAATGCCGGCATCAGCCCAGGTCTGGCTTTTATTGAAAGAAGAAGAAATATGTCAGAACCAGAAAGGATTTCTGGATTTCCAGTGAATACTCTCAAAGGTTCTAAGATTTCATGCTCAAGATGAATGCAGACTCCAAAATCACTCTAGCATATGTTACATATCATTTTCTGAACTGATTTTGTTTTCAAAGGTATTAGCCTTTTGTCCTGGAAATTAGAGAAAAGCCACATGTTCTCAATGCCCTTTTCTGTGTTCATTCTCAAAAACTGTACATTAGTTTTATTAAACAAAATCAACCAGGAAAAATCATTACGAAAAGAATTTTCAGCCTCTTTGAAGCTCAAGATTTATAGAAAAGCAGATACATGCCAGAACCATATGAGTTCTGAGCAAACGCAGATGTCCCCTATTGGTATTGTTTCATTTGACAACAATTTTTGATCATTGATTCCTTGTCATATCCATCCAACTGGAAAATTCCAGGCATTTTGTTTAATTACAGCCAACAGCCTGATGCACAGAAAGATCTGATTGCTGATTATTAAAATTCATAGTTTTTAAGTAGAAATTCAGGATACTCTAAAATAAAAATAGATCTCTGAACTGCTTTTAAGGGAAAAAAAATGACATGTGTTTTAATTTTTAAGTACAGAGAAATTCTCTGAATTCACTACTAAAAAGAAAACACAGCATTTGAGAGCTGCAGCAATGGAAGTTCTGCTCAATCATTTAAGCTATTGATTTCAAGCAATAAAACATGACTAGATTTTACGTATTTATAATGTAAGGAATATAAGTGGAAAAGTCTTCCAAAAAAAGACAATATTCATGTTTACTGGTAAAGATAACTACTTCATTTTAGCATGATGCTATATTCCAACACCTAAAAAAAAAGTTTTATTATTTTCTGTTATAAGCAAAACCAAAGAAATGTCAAAAGGTTATTGTTGAGCACAACTCTCTTCTGTGGCATAAGATTTATGTTACTGTAGATTTTCAAAGTCCACTCTGCAGAAAGAAGTTGAAGGACACTTCATAAGTTTTTTGTGACTCAGGCTTTATGCAAACTGTGCAGAAGAGGAAGTCTGAAGGGTTCAGCACACGCTTGCAATTAGTGTTGTTAGCCATCAACTAAGTTATTCTATCCAGTGTACCGGGTGCTTTGCACATTACTTCCAGTCTAAACCATCACCTTTTCAGATTAAGAAACTAAGACAAAGAATTTTTTATTATTATTATACCTTAAGTTTTGGGATACGTGTACAGAACACGCAGGTTTGTTACATAGGTATGCATATGCCATGGTGGTTTGCCGCACCCATCAACCCTTCATCTACACTAGGTATTTCTCCCAATGCTGTCCCTCCCCTAGCCCCACACCCCCAACAGGCCCCATTATGTGATGTTTCCCTCCCTGTGTCCATGTGTTCTTATTGTTCAACTCCCACTTATGTGTGAGAACATGGGGTGTTTGGTTTTCTGTTCCTGTGTGACTTTGCCAAGAATGATGATTTCCAGCTTCATCCATGTCCCTGTAAAGGACATGAACTCATATTTTATGGCTGTATAATATTCCGTGGTGTATATGTACCACATTTTCTTTATCCAGTCTATCATTGATGGGCATTTGGGTTGGTTCCAAGTCTTTGCTATTGTTGATAGTGCTGCAATAAACAGACATGTGCATGTGTCTTTATAGCAGAATGATTTATAATCTTTTAGGGTATATATCCAGTAATGAGATTGCCGAGTTAAGTGGTGTTTCTGGTTCTAGATCCTTGAGGAATTGCCACATCGTTTTCCACAATGGCTGAACTAATTTATACTCCCACTAACAGTGTAAAAGTGTTCCTATTTCTCCACATCCTCTCCAGCATCTGTTATTTCCTGACTTTTTAATGGTCTCCATTCTGACTGGTGTGAGATGGTATCTCATTGTAGTTTTGATTTGCATTTCTCTAATGACCAGTGATGATGAGTTTTTCCATATGTTTCTTGGCCACATAAATATCTTTTTTGAGAAGTGTCTGTTTATATCTTTTGCCCACTTTTCAATCGGGTTGTTTTTTTCTTCTAAACTTAAGTTCTTTGTAGATTCTGGATTTTACCCTTTGTCAGATGGACAGATTGCAAAATTTTCTCCCATTCTGTAGTTGCCCATTCTCTTTGATGATAGTTTATTTTGCTGTGGAGAAGCTCTTTAATTAGATTTCATTTGTCAATTTTGGCTTTTGTTGCCATTGTTTTTGGTGTTTTAGTCATGAAGTCTGACAAATAATTTTATACACTTGCCCTAGAGCTACACGATGCTGAAGAAAGTCAGCAGACATCAAATCTACATTTTTCTGATTGTGATGCTCACCTTTTTTTGTTTTTCTGAATCATATTCCCCTCCAAGGGTCCACCCGCAGTGGGCCCCTAATGAAAATCATTCAGTATTGCTTATTATAACTTCATTTTTAAAAGCCATAAAATGGTGTGATGAAAGTATACTACAGCTAATTAAAAATTCCTGGTGTAAAAAAGTTAAAAAAATACATAAGTTCAAAGAATATGGTAAGGAAAACAGTATTTTCCTAAACTGCTCCCTTTTACCACTACAACAAAATACCATATTAAAATTAGAACTATTCTAGTAAAAATTTCATTGACGTTGGATTCTGTTCTTAGTTTAACCAGAAATTTCCAGAAAAAGGAGGACTCTATGAAAGAGAACTTAAGTATTTTTCTAAAAGCGATAGAAGTTTCCCTCTGTTAACACAGCATACCAATCCTTTGACTCACTTAAGTGATTTATTCATTTAAAAATGTGTGTCCCTTGGAAGGCAGAAAATACATTTAAATACATCTATGCAGTAGTGTGAAATGTGTAAGTTTAGAGATGAGGGTATACGGATGTATACATAAGGCGATTTTATAGAAGCACACAATTTTCAATTTTAATAGAAAGTTTTTAATATTAATGTTGACTTTACTCAGTGTCTCCTCTCAGGAAGGTAACTGATCCTTTTTGTAAAATATATACACGGTTTATGTGGTATTACTTTGAGATATTAAATTTTCCCCTAAATTATAATAATTTCATTTTTCATCATGCTTTCTTCCTGGGTGATTTTATTTCAAAGGGTTAATGGTTCGTCCGTGATGTCTTCTCAAGAAAACATGACTAGGCTGGGGTGAATTACTTGGCTGCATTCTCAAAACCCACTCAGACTTTAAAAAAAAAAAAAAAAAACAGGACCTATATAAACCTGCCTCCTCATGAAAACCACACACTGAATAAATTTAGGATTGTGTTCACAGATGGCAGCTCATGAAATCACTCAGCACCAAGTACAGAATGTTCTCAATGGCTTGGAAAATCAGAATGAACAAAGCATCACCAAAGATGGTGGTTGTGCTGGTTTAGATTTTTGAATTGTATAGTGTTAAAAACTCTACAAAATAGGTTTGTAAGAGATGTTTACAGTTTCTTTCATATATTGTATTTATGTTTTAAAGTTTCATCAGGAATTTATAAATATCCTGTATGTTTATAATCCCACCCTGACCCCCAACACAGAGGGCCTCTCTCATAGGATGGAAATCGGAGGTATCAATTTCACAGCAATAATATTAACCATATAGGACCTTCTCCAAGGTCACATGGCTATGCACTTACAACTGATATGCTTACCATTTAGGAATGAACTAAATGCTAGATAAATGGAAATTATTCTGCTGATGTGGGGTTTAGATCAGCTTGGTCACTCTTTGTTACCTTCTAAAGTAACATTCTTGTAAATTTGTATTGAGGGTTAATTGGCTCCACTGGTTATAGTAGGAAAGTTATACTCTAATATCACACCTGGAGAACTTTGACATCAGGCAGCCATAGCATGCACTCCCACACCCTTCATCCCCCATCATACTATCTCTCTCCTCCTTCGTATCAACTATCAAGTAACATTCTTGTTTGTATTGAGGGTTAATACTATCTATGTAGACATTTGGGAGGCAATAAAAGACAAAAGGAAACATTCAGATTCAGAGTAGGAAAAAATTTATGTACACCCTATACACATCTAATTCTAAGCCCATTGCATAAAAAGTCATAGTTTATATAGAAAAGTTACAAACATTTTATAAATAAATATCCTTAAAAACTAAGTTAGTTTGTACTTTCCTGATTGTTTTCTTTTCTAAATGCATTTAGGATGAAATCTCATTTGAACATGGGCTTTGAATAGTGAGGTTAGTCCATACAACATAATTAAGATTAAGAAGAGTGAGTAATAGCCAGGTAACTACAAATAACTAAATTCATATATATTTTTGTGAGACAGAGTCTCACTCTATCACCCATGCTGGAGTGCAGTGGCACGATCTCAGCTCACTGCAAGCTCTGCCACCTGGGTTCAAGCAGTTCTCCTGCCTCAGCCTACCGAGTAGCTGGGATTTACAGGCACCTGCCACTGCAGCTGGCAAATTTTTGTATTTTTAGTAGAGATGGGGTTTCACTATATTGGCCAGACTTGGCCTCGGCCTCCCAAAGGGCTGGGATTACAGGTGTGAGCCACTGCATCCAGCCATTTGTTGTATTTTAGAGGCAGAGTCTCGCTCTGTCACCCAGGCTGGACTTAAGGAGAATGGCACAATCATAGCTCACTGCATCCTTGAATGCCTGGGCTCAGGCAATCCTCCCTCCTCAGCCTCCCAAGGAGCTGGGTTTATAGGTGCACACCACTATGCCCAGTTTAAATTCATATAGTTCTAAAATGAACTATATGAATTTAGTTATTCTGCACCACATGCCATGAACTATTCTAATCACTTTATATTTGCTATTTCTTTTAGTACTGACATAACCCATGAAAAGTAATATTCTTATCCTGATTTTACTGTTGAGGAAACTATCTTAATGTAATGAAATGACTTTTCTAACACCATGGAGCTCTTAGGTGGCAGAGCCAGGACTTGGACCCAATTTTCTCTCAATAAAAGCCTTTTCTGTATGCTCTACTGCTTGTCATAAATGTCTTAAGATACATCTCACCAAGTCTAGAGCTACTTTTTCATTATAGGATATACATAAAGTTGAAGAATTCAGTAGAATTTTACCAGATCTCCAACATTAGCTTGGGGATTAGAATTTAATCATAGTCTATAAGGAAAAATAGCAATTTAACTTAAAACCACAAATATCATACAGAAATATACATCTGTTCATAGCCTGAACTGAAATCTAGGCCTTGCTTTCTAGGAAAAAAAAATGATAAATTTTCTACATGTTAGCCATGAGTCAATAAAACATATCTCATATTTTAAGTGAGTCACATAGCATTAACCTCAGGTACGGTACAGGTTTTGGCTCTAAGACTATGACATGCTGAGGTCAATACATAGCTCACAGCAGAGAAGCTACCTTTCATTCAAACTGTCTCCAGAAGATGACCATTCACTCTGCCTGCCCTCAAGGAGCAAATGGCTCCACTGGTTATAACAACAGGAAAGTTGTACTCTAATGTTATACCTGGAGAACTTTGACATCAGGCAGCCATAGCATGCACTCCCATACCCTTCATCCCCCATCATAATATCTCTCTCCTCCTTCAGATCAGCTATCAAATATGTGGAGATCAGTACAAAATGAAGATGTAGGGTTCCATGTTCAAAAGTTAGTAAGAATTTCAAGACAGCTAGAACAGAGCATCAAGTCAAGTATATTAGTTCATTTTCACACTGCTATAAAGAAATACCCAAGACTGGGTAATTTATAAAGATAAGAGGTTTAAGACTCAGTTTCGCATGGCTGAGGAGGCCTCAGAAATTTACAATAATGTGGGAAAGGGAAGCAGGCACATCTCACATGGTGGCAGGTGAGGGAGAGAGCATGTGGAGGAGGAACCATCCAACACTTGTAAAACCATCAGATTTAGTGTGAACTCACTATCATGAGAACAGCATGAGGGAACTGCCCCCATGATCCAGGCACCTCCCACCATGTCCCCTTCCTCAACATGGGGGGATTAAGGGGATTACAATTCAAGATGAAATTTGGGTGGGAACACAGAGGCCAACCGTATCTTAAACCAAGCATGAGGCCTTCTAAGGACAGGCCCCCAAGTGACTGCACAGGTCTCATGTCTATAATTTGTCCTTATTCCCCTTACCACACATTCCTGCAGACACATGCAACACCTGCTAGCCTGGGGTGACCTTTATTCCCTTTCAGTACTGCCTTTGATGTTTCGTTTGTGTTTTTTATCTGGAAATACTGTTGGCAGTATGTGCCTTCTAAGAATAGGTTTGGTGTCCTCACTCAGCAACTGTCCCACTTAGAGCATCCTGAGCAGTCTTCAACAGTCAAGGCCAAGAGCTCATTCTGACATCACAAAAAATATGTAACATGTTATGCACAAGTTGGTGATCTAATGTTACTATCTCAACAGATTTTCAAACTGAACTCATGGAGATAAAGTGCCGTTTCTTAAGGTTCAATTTCACTTGAAGCATAGATGATTCACAGATTTGCAAATAGGCTTTTGTTTGCTTGTTTTCTCAAAACCAAACACATTTATAACAAAAGATACCAGTACAATATGGCTATTAATTCTCTTCCCTTCATAAGTTCAAAAAAAAATGCCACAGCATGTACTTCAGCTGCTTAGTTCTCTTCTTGTGTTTCAAAGGCTACCCACCAGTAGAACCACATGATCATTTGCACCATCTGTGCATGGGAGAGAAACACATTATCTAAGCCAATACTGAGGGTATTCTATCAAGAAAGGAACCCCCCATCAGAGAAAGGTTATGCAGAAAAGCTCCTGCCAGAAAACTCACTGTTTCCTTCTCTCTGTCTCCCTCATTTGAAATTCATGAAGATGAAGTGCAGCTTTTGTTTCCCATCAGTGAGATGAGCCTTAATACACTCTTGCCAAAAGCAAGCTAACACAGAGTAATTGTTTTTCATCTAAATTGCATGTCCAACCTGCTTAGTCTTCAAAGAGCATAGATGCTACAGCTTTGATACCCAACTGCAGAATGACAAAGGAGAGGGCACCAGGCACATGGTCACGATGAGAATTTTTAATCGCCACCTAACTGTCAGCAAGCCCTGGAACTCTGGGGCAAGAGAAGAGAGCAGATTATTCGCAAGGTAGATAAGGTTCCATATTTCATTCAAGAACAACTCCTTTTTTTTTTAAGGGAGAAAAAAGTGATTCAGAGCGAATTAAGTTTCCCCAAGGTGTTTTTAATCTCTTTTCACTCCAGGGCCAGGTGCCTCATGTAGCACTTAAAAGGGTTTCAGAAATGAAAGCAAATGCCTAGAACACAGAAAAAGATATCCATCTACACAAAGCATCTGCCTTTGTTTAAGAAAAAAACAGTTTCAGCTTTATGAACTTCACATCCAGACATTTTATAATTCTGATGTTATAGTTCTTATAGACTTTTGCCCCATGAACACTACATCCAATAGAGACAAAAATCACTAATATTTAATATTTTTATATATCGTCTCCTTTATGTCAATAAGTTCATTTAATTGCACATAACTGCAGAGTGTTTGTGAGGAGGTTTATGTGATGTAAATAAAAACTGCCCAAAGAAATGAAATTATCACATCTGCACCCACTACCATCTTTTGCAGGCAGAGATGCTGCCGAAAAGCTGTGTGGTTCTCGTCATTGATCCCTGGGCCTCATTTTGTAACCAGGTGCTGAGACAAAAGATTTGATTCTGTGTATTGTGTTTGTTCCAGTTAATTTAATTCTTTTTGCCTGGTTTAAACTTCTATTTTCTAATTACATTCGTAAGCTCTACAGGGACTAGTGCTACAACACCCTGGCTTGCACTTAGAAAATGTGGACACAAACTAAATTACTTCCACAGCTGTCAGTAAATTGTGCTACTGTCCTATATCATCTAAACATTAGAAGTTTTTGACCCCAGGCAGCCCAGTGATAGAAAGTAACTCCCAGCATGCTACCAAATAAGAGAAAGGAGACAAGAAAGTCCATCAGACTGTGAATGTCAGAGCAGAGGAAAGTGCCCCAGTTGGAGATGGGGGTATTAGTATCAGCTCCACAGCTAAAGGAGCTGAACAGCTGAAGCCAAGTCACCTAAACCCCTTGGACCATTCCTAAGGTTATTCTTCCAGTGCTAAAGGTCTATAATTTCAATCTCTGTGCTTTCCTTTCTTAATAATCAATTTCGGTTTTGGAACAGAAAGCTTTTTCTAAAGCGAAAGTTTTGACCAAAAAAGCCAATTGTGTTAACGTTGGCTTTTACATGAAGAAGATACCCTCCCATCGTTAAGATATTATTAAACACTGGAAGCACCAACATTATGTAATGGCTTTGAACATAAAGTGGCAATTTACAGTGGTCACACTGATCTGTGTTTGTCTAGATACAAACTGAAAGGAGGAATCTTGGATATAGATGTTCACCTGAGACCTATTACCTGGCTTGTTGTAACACATTTAGCAATGCTATAAGAAATTTTTGTGAAACTACCCTATGACTTTGAAACTTGATACTATACCATCAAGATCTAAGTATTTCTTAAATACCCAACTCAGCTTATGTATTCATCAGGAAGTTGAGACTCTTGGCTGTAGTTTAAAAAAAAAGTTTAAGCAAATAAGGGGATTTATTCATTTATATAATCTAAATTTTCAGGGGTATCACTAGCTTTAGGCGTGCCTAAATCTAGACACTTCACATTGCCAGGGCTTGATCTCTATCTGATCCTTGACTGTTTCCTCAAATGATTGCTGCATTCTTAGGCAGGCTTTTTGTAGACAGTGGCAAAGACAGCCCCTCTGGCACCTCTAGGCTTAACTGGATGGTAGGCAGGAAAAGAACATACACCAACTACAGATTAATTAATCTCAATAAACCAGAGTAAGTGAAGCCAGTTGGTATTACCTAGAGATTAGAGAGCTAAGCTGAAAGTTTAGGAAGGAGGCAATATTCTCATGGCAGCTCATAGGGATGGAGTCTCCATTTAGTGTCTATCAAAATAAACTTTCATTTGAATACTAACTTCCTCTTTGGCCTGATACAATGATATTTTTAATGAATATGGTCACAAAATTCCTTTACTTGCCTCAGTTTGCAGAAAAATAAATAATATATACTACAGGTCAATAAGTACAATGAAAAGAGAATTTTTGGCAGTCCAGGATTCTAGTTCTGACTCTAGCAGTTTGAAAACCATTGTGCTGAGTGAAGTAACCTAAGGCTTGTTTCAAGTCCTGAAATGTGAATCCATGTAGCGCTGACTTGGCTGTTTTAATGTTGAAGGTTTGGGTTTTTGCTTTCTTGATACCATTTGTTCCTCACCAAGAGAAACCTATCACTCAGAACTCTGAGAAACACGGATCACTAAATACGTCAAAAACATCTTGCAAAAGATGAAAGCATTCAGAAGTTTTGCAGAAGGTAAGTAAATAAGCCAATAGCCCATTATCTTGAACATCTTGGCTTTCACAGAAAAACAAGCAAGCAGCCAAGCAGTCAACCCCAGCTTCCATACAAGTTGAGCGCCCATATATTGATCTTCTGTCTGACTGAGTCATGGGAGTGCTGCTGTATATTAAGAAGAAAAAGGACTGAAAATTACATTAATTCAAATGGCTAAATCAATATTTAACAATGCAGTCAGTGGTAGTTGACCTTAAATGCACCTTTAATAAAACAAAGGTGATTCAGGCCATCCTCCAGCATATGCCATTCAGAAATATGAATTAATGAAGAACAGATACGTTAAAGACCTCTACTAATGCAGATGCCTTTGCAGCTTGGTCTGACTGCAAGGAGAAGTTCAAAGCCACACTCTTAGCACAGGCAATTCAAATTTTATTCATGCAATGTTGTGTCTTCATTTATCATATTCTCCCTGTCTCAAGAATCAGACAGCCTTGATCTCAGCACATTTAAAAGCAGAAAAAAAAGATTTCTACAACTATTTCCCCAGCAAGTTATTAGTAAATCTTTAGTGATAGCTTTGTAACCTTGAGCACTTTCTTCATGAGTAAACATGGATGTTACCAGTTGTTATTCTAGGAGCCCTATCTTACTAAACTATGATTTGCATATATTTGCATATAAACATACCAGTTAGTACTCCACTTATATTAAAGATTATTGAAATAAGCTTGCTTATATTAAAGGGAATGCAAAAAAAGAATAAAATAAATAAGGAATAAACAGAGGCAGTCTCTTTAAGATGTCAGAATTATCTCAGATGCTATTAGCTATTATATCCAGCTCACAGATGTGAGACTTTTTAAATTGCCTTGCTGTCCATAAAATACTTTAAGCTGTACAGCATTTTATTTATCACTACCTAGGACTTGGTGATAACTCTAAGGAAAAGGTCAATCTAAGAATCTATTTCAATACACCTAAGGCAGCAGGAGACTCTATGGAATTCCCAAAGGAGCCCAGGAGAGTTTACCTGATTTTGTGGCCTAAGATGCTAGTGCCAAAGGCACGATTTCTGTTGCATCCCGGTTTGGCTGCAAGGACAAATGTGTGATAATTATAAATCTCTCCTGAGACACTTCCCTTTGATTTGTTGTTTGGTGATGGCTACAGTCTCTCTGCAGCCTTGCTTCTCTCAGGTCCGTCTGCCTGTTACCATGGCAATGTGGCTCAATGCATCCTATGAGCTAAATCAGCATTCTACAGTATCCACACTGCTGGCAGTAGAACTTGAGAATTGGGCAGAAAGTTTCCAGGCTGAATGTAAAAGCGATTGCTTGAAAATATGATCATACACTTGAAGGGGAAAAGGTACATTCTCCAGAACAAAAGCAGAGTTTCTTCATCGTCAAGGATATAGAACAAACACCTGATCTGCCTCACAGCCAGCCACAAGAGTTCTGGGCAGGGAGAGGGCTGGCAATATATGTTAGGCCCCCCAGCTAATGCTGGAACTCAAACAGAAGTTGCATGTGCCTCAAGAATAGCCAAGCAACAGCTTAGCTCATGGGAAATCTCTCTGCCTGGGGCATTCCACATACAAACTTGTAGGCACACCCTACTTTTCAGTCTCTTCACATGGTCAAAATATTCTCTGAATTTAAGAATAATTGTAGACTACTATTCTTAATAAATGAGAGAGAATGTTTAAAGTGTGAGAATGCATTCTCACCTCCAGCATGGGTTTCAAGAAACCCAAAAGAATATTTATTTTATACTCATCCTAGAGTTAGATAAAGGAAGTAGAAAATCGGGTCTTTCATCTTAATGATCATGTTCCCTAGGGCCATCATTCTTTACTGGAAAATCTAAATCCAATATTCCCACAAAACTATATAGTTCACGTTATTTGCAAATTTCTTGAGAAATTAGATTATGTTATTTTTAGTATGAATACATATGCCATACATATAAATATGTGTTATAGTGAATGAAAGATTAATAATTGTTTACCCATGTGTTTGTCATACTCTTTAAGAACTAGAATATTATAAATATCTTTGAAGCCCTAGAACCTCCTGGTTTTATTCCACTCCCCTGCCACCTATTGAGGTGACCTTTACTCTGAATTTTTGTGTTTATTGTTGCTTATCTTCCAAGTTTTATCACAGATGTATGTGCTTCTAAACAAACCTCTAGCCACACTGATCAAAAAAAAAAAGCAGAAGAAGAAAATGCAGATTACCAATATAGAGGATGTTAGGGGATATCATCAGAGACTCCACAGACATGGATAGTGCTTTAAGGAAATACTGAATAACTCTAAGCCCATAAATTTGACAGCTTAGGTGAATGGTCCAATTCTTTGAAAGATACAAACCACAAAAACTTACTAAAGAAACTATCTCAATTATCTTGTATCTGTAAACAAATTGCATTCTTTATTTAAAACCTTTAGATAAAGAAAACTTTAGATCCAAACGGTTTCACTAGCAAAATCTACCACAAGTGCAAGGAAGGAGTAACAACCCTACACAATCTCTACAAGAAAATAAAAGAAAAGAGACCATTTTCCAACTCATTGTGGAGCCAGCATTACCTTGATATTTAACCCAAAGATATTACAATAAAACTACAGACACATATACCTCATGAATACAGATTTTTAAAGTCCTCAACAAAATATTAGTAAATCTAATCCAGCTATATATAAAAGGAATGCTACATCATGAGCAACTGAAATTACTCTAGGGATGCAAGGCTGAATCAACATTTGAAAAAGCTGACAACAAATGCTAGCAAGGTTGTCTGGAAAACTGAAAACTCATGCATTGCTGGTGGGAATGTCAAATGGTACAGGAGTACTGGAAAATAGTTTGGTAATTTCTTATAAAGTGAACCCATATAATCTAGGATTCTCACTCCTAGATAGGCACCCAGAGAAATGAAACCCTACGATTGACACAAAAAACTGATATAACTTTTTATAGAAAAACTGGAAATAAGCTGGTCTTTCAACACAAGAATGAACAAACAAACTGTGGTACATCCTGAGGAACAACATTCAGCCACATAGACAAATCTGAGATGCATTGTGCTAACAGGGATTCTAAATCTCAGCACTACTACACTTCAGGCCAGACAAATTTGTATTGTGGAGAGCTGTCTTGTGCATTATAAGCTATTTTTGCAGGCATCACTGGCCTCCTCCAGCTGGATGCCAGTTGCCATCTCCCTCACTAGACCAATTTAATCAACAAAGAATGTCTCCAGATATGGCCAAATGTTTCCTAGGGAGAAAAATCACTACTGTTTAAAAACCACTGTGCTAAGTAATAGAAAGAAGTCTGGCTCAAAAAAAAATACATACTCTATAATTCTATTTGTACAATCTGGAAAATGCAAAATTCTAGGAAAGGGTTGAGAATAGGATGACGGTTTGGGTAAAAGGGGGCAGCACAAAGAAATTTGGGGGAAAGAACAGTTGTGCATCCTGACTGCAACGGCTGTTACACAACTCTAGGCATTTGTCTGAACTGTATGACAAAAAGAAAACCTTAATTTTACTACAAGTAAATTTTTAGATGTTTTAATGTAATTTAAATTTATTTAATAAAATTAATAAATTTTTACAAGTTATATATAATATATGCTTATTTTGTTTAAGAAATCAAATACTTAAACACCTATATGCTTATCATCTTGTTCAAGAAATAAAATACTATGAATATCTTTGGTCTTATCCGACTCTGCTGCCACTCATGGAGGTGAAACTTTACAATGAGCTTTTGTGTTTATCATCTGTTGCTTTTATTAACTGCCTAACCACATATATATTATCTCTAAACAATATATTGCTTGTTTTTAAACTATAAATAGAAAATGCTATATTGGAAAAAAAAAGTTTTGTGTACTATGAAGTTGTTGTTAATCCAAACTAGATTTTTTAAGATAATTTCAATCCCCAGAAAAACCACTAAGAAAATAACTTTAAAACTATAGCAAAAAAAAACAGCAAGAGAATTTAAATGGCACATTAGAAAATATCTCTTTAAGACAAAAGAAGTTATTAGCAGAGAACAAGTAGTAGAGGAAAAAGACAAAAGACATGCAGACAACAAATAGAAAAATGGTAGCTATAAAGTATTCCTTAGTAATTACACTAAATATAAATGTATTAAACACTAGAGGCTAGAAATTAAAAGGCTAGAAATTGGAAGAAGGGAATGATATAAAAGATCCATTTTTTGCTACCTACAAGAAACATACTTTAGATTCAAAAACTTTAATAACTTGAAAGTAGAATAATAGGAAAGAAAGACACCATGCAAACATTAACCAAAATAGGGCTAAAGTTGATATACTAATATTAAGCAAAATACACTTTGAGAAAAAAATGTAAGAGATAGGTAAAGATTTTTACAATAATAAAGAGGTCAATGCATCAAAAAGATATAACAATTTTAAGTATATGTGTACCTAACAATAGAGGTCCAAAATACGTAAAGCAAAAGCTGACAGAATTGAAGGGAGAAATCAATAATTTAACAATAGTTGGAGACCTCAAGCCCTCCTTTCAACAATGGATAGAACTAGGCAGAAGTTCAAGGATAGAAGTCTTGAACAAAACCATGAAACAACTAAACCTAACAGACATCTGTAAAACATTCCACCAAACAACAGCTGAATACACATTCTTCTCTAGTACACATGGAACATTCTCCAGGATAAACCATACTTAAGTCAGAAAACAAACCTCAGTAAATTTAAAAGGACTGAAATCATACAAAATATACTCTCCAACCACAGTGAAATAAAGTTAGAATTCAATAACAAAGAAATTTGGGAAACTCACAATTAAGTGGAAATTAACACACTCATAACCAGTAAGTTAAGACCACAAGAGAAGTTAATACTTTGAGAAAAATTAAAACTAAAGCCTAATATCAAAATGTATAGCATACAGCTAAAACAATATTAAAGACAAGTTTATAACTGTAAATGCCTATATTAAATAAGAAAAAACATTTGGAAATCAATTAACTTTGTTACCCACCTTAAGAAACCAGAAGAAAGGAGGGGCTGGCAAGATGGCCGAATAGGATCTCCAGTCTGCAGCTCCCAGTGAGATCAGCGCAGATGGTGGGTGATTTCTGCATTTCCAACTGAAGTACCCAGTTCATCTCATTGGGACTGGTTAGACAGTGGGTGCAGCCCATGGAGGGTGAGCAGAATCGGGGTGGGGTGTCACCCATCCAGGAAGAACAAGAGGTCGGTGAAGTCCTTCCCCTAGCCAAGGGAAGCCATGAGGGACTGGGCCGTGAGGGACTATGGCCCAAGGTACTATGTTTTTCCCATGGTCTTCACAACCCACAGACCAGGAGATTCCCTCAGGTGCCTTCACCACAAGGGCCCTGGGTTTCAAGTATAAAACTGGGCAGCCATTTGGGCAGACACTGAGCTAGCTTCAGGAGTTTTTTTTCACACCCCAATGGTGCCTGGAATGCCAGCGAGACAACCATTCATTCCTCTTGAATGGGGGCTGAAGCTAGGGAGTCAAGTGGTCTAGGCTCAGTGGATCCCAACCCCACAGAGCCCAGTAAGCTAGCATCCACTGGCTTGAAATTCTTGCTACCAGCATAGCAGTCTGAAGTTCATCTGGGACTTTTGAGCTTGCTGGGGAAAGGGGCGTCCACCATTACTGCAGTTTGAGTACCAGTTTTCTACTCACAGTATAAACAAAGCCACTGCAAGCTTGAACTGGGCAGGGCCCACTGCAGGTCTTCAAAGTCACTGTAGCCAGGCTGCCTCTGTAAGATTCCTTCTCTCTAGGCAGGGCGTCTCTGAAAGAAAGGCAGCAGCCCCAGTCAGGGGGTTATAGATAAAACTCCCACCTCCCTGGGACGGAGCACCTGGGGGAAGAGGCATCTATGTGTACAGCTTAAACAGATTTAAATGCTTTTTCCTGCCAGCTATAAAGACAGCAGCAGCACTCCTAACACAGCGTTCCCAGCTCTGCTAAGGGACAGATGCCTCCTCAAGTAGGTCCCTGACCCCCATGCCTCCTGACTGGGAGACACCTCCCACCAGGGGTCAACAGACGTCTCATACAGAAAACCTCTAGATAGCATCTGACAGGTGCCCCTCTGGGATGAATCTTCCAGAGGAAAAAAAACAGACATCAATCTTTGCTGTTCTGCAGTCTCCGCTGGTGGTAAC